CACCAGAACGACCAGACACAGGAACAGTTTCTTTCCTCAGGCAATCCATCTCATGAACACTTAACAATAATCGTGGAACACACAACACTGGTATACATTATTTATTTAACACACATACTTATTTACATTTCAAATTTGCACATATCATACCTGTACATACAAAATTGTCTATATTATATATTGTGTTTTTGCTTTTTTGTACATTGTCTATTTTTATATTATTCTTTTTATTATCGGTGTCCTGTCTTGTCACTGTCATTCTGTTGCACTGTGGAGCTTCTGTCACTAAAACAAATTCCTCGTATGTGTAAACATACCTGGCAATAAAGCTGATTCTGATTCTGATGATATGTGGGCCGAAATGAAAGATTTTGTGGCCGCGAATTAAGAATTCATTCCTACGACTTAATTTGTTCGCTCATTTTAGTTTAATCATGGGTTATCTAGGGAACAAATGAATGAAACATGGACCATGGCCACAAATTAATAAATTGTAGGAACAAATTAACAAGTTGTAATGAATTAAATACATATACATATATATATATATATAAATAATTCACTCACAGTTGTTTGCACGTGTTTTGCGCATCATGAGCCGCATGCACCCCAAAATGAAATTACTTAATCGACCATCGATAGCTTTAATCAATCACATCTCTTAACGTCAATGAATCAATCACTGATTAATCGTTGACATCCCTATTCTAAACCCAACTGAAAATCTCTGAAAAATCCTTGCCAACAAAGTTATGGCAAAGAAACCCACTACAGTTACCGAAATATGGAAAAGACTGGAAAAAGAGTGGGCCAAGATCACACCAGCACAGTGTGAGAAACTAGTGATGTCCTGCGGCCGCAGATGTGCTGAAGTCATTCAAAGCAGGGGCCTCTAAACTTCCTACTAATTTCTGACAGATGTAACCCTCCAAAATTTTTGTTGTAATCTTCTTTTTAATGCTACAGTGGTTACTGTTCTCTAATTTTGATCACGGTGTTCTCCACAAAATAAAGGTATTTGTTGAAATGCCTTGGTTATTTTGTCAAACATGTTAGTATAACAGTGGTATACCTACAGCTGATATTCCTTCAAATTTTGAGCGATGAAAATTAACAATGTCAGAAAAACTCAAGTATTTATAGATTGTTCTCTAATTTTGATCTCTACTGTAGATTGGATGTTGTATGACAGAAGACAACTGACTTACTCATGCCCTGAAATGCCATAACCTCAAATGGCTCCTTTAGCACAGTCTGAAAGAAAAAGAAAACGAAAAGAAAAAAAAAAAGACAAGACCGTGTAATTAAAAAGTACTAGCGTGAGACTTAAAATCTTTAGAGCACATCGGCATTTAGTCTTTCACCTTGATTTGACCTCTTCCCTCAGCTTTTTCCACTTCAGCAGCAGCAGCTTTAATGGCTTTCCTGATGGCTGGATCTTTAAGTGCAGCCTCTTCCTCATGGGGAACCTTGTCTTTGTGGTTCTGCTTCTGTATTCCAAAAAACAAAAAACACAATAAGGTGGCTGTGTATTATATCAAAAGCATAGACAGAGATAATCTGTGATATCAGGAAAAATTGTGATTATGAAAATCATACCAAGTATTTGAAGCTGTGCTTCCAGCCAGTGATGTGAGCAGCCATTTCATTCTGCAGCCGCTGAACTTTACACAGTTTACACTGGTAATGGGGTGGAACCGACTTAGATGGGCTTCTATACTCCCATATGTACTGTAGGCCTATGAACACAAAGCACATGTGTATTCAAACATAAGATCATTCAAAAATCAGCCAAAGCATATAGAAGCTATTTGAGGGAGCAAAATAATTATAAAATTATACAATTTAAAACACCACAAAAACAAAAATTAACAGGGATGAGAGAGTTTAAACATTTGATGCATTTTTATTAAACAATTTACAAATTAAATAAAATGCAGTGATCATCAGTATTTATCTAAACATTTATTTTGAATGTTTGTGAACAGTTGATTAAAGAGACCCTATTATGCCATTTTGAATATTGCCTTTCATGAAGTGTGTACTGTAGCTGTATATGAATATAAACGATCTGCAAAGTTGTAAAGCCGAAAGTCTCCCAAAAGAAAGAATTGACTCTGAACAACCAAAACGAGTCTTCAGCAATTCGAATCCTACTTCTGTGACGGCTACACGTCACGGCGTAAAAGAATCAGTGGTTAAAATTACTTTTTTTTTTTCTACTGTACCACAGCAGTACAACCCCAATCTTTTTTGTGTTCCAGTCATTTTACTGATGACTGCTTTAATCTCGGGGAGTTCAACACAGGATTCACAAAACGCTTGCTCTTGACCAGTTTATTTGGACCAGCTGGCTCCACTGAATCACAACCTGTAAGTATGATTAATAATTGATGTTTATATTTTCTACTGAGTGTTCAAAATACGGAACTATTGCAATGGGCATATCGTTTCCGTCACGCGCTGTAGGCAGTAGACCAATCAGAACAGACTGGGTCATCTGACCAATCAGAGCAGAGTAGGCTCATGGAAAGGATGGGTTTAGATTTAGGATGGGTTTGAGACTGAACATTAGAACTGCTTCGAACAAATCGTTGGAAAATTAGGTGATATTAAATGCATATTTTGAGGTTTTTTTTACCTTGCATTCATGTAAACCTATTGTAGGAGACTCCCAAAAAAACATTAGGAACTTTAAAAATGGCATAACAGGGGTACTTTAATTTAAGTCATGAATAATTTATTTCATTAGAGTAAGGGACCAATAAAAGTGTGATGCCTTATTTTAAGCCTATTAGCCTACATTTATATAGTGGTAACAAAATATACATCATTACTCACCAATAACAGCATCGGTGACTGATTTGAGCTTTTTGTTCAGACAAGGTATAGTCTGGATGGATCCATTCTTGGAGGTGAAGACTGATGAAACGCACATGAATCAGTAAAATCAATAAGGACATGGACAAGCATTGTGAACCTGGACTTAAAGCACAGATGACAGTGTTCCCACTCTACTGAAACCGTACCAAGTGGTTACTGCACCACAAAAACAAAACTAGCTGAGTGCTTAAAGCACCCATTCAGTTACCCCCAGGCCTATGGGCAACAGTCACACTTGATGGAAAATTGTGGTCAGACAAGTGAGCCACAACTCTCTGCACTTAAACGCTGAACAACATATACAAACTCAACAGATTTGAATGAATGCAGTGACGCCTGCTGTTTTTCTGTCTACAAATCCAGTATGATGACAAAAGCACACTGGTTGAGATGTCAGCCGATCACACTGCAGCAGTGTAACTGTTCTAACTGAGTTCAAGCTTAAAAGGCACCTGAAATAATGCATTTAATGTTAACTTTTCTTAGGCAGCTTAATGCATGCCCTGCACAGGGTGGCACAATTAATATGCTTAGATGACCCTAAGCGGACATACGGGGATAAAAGGTGGGATACCCAACCTCCTAATATACATGGATCTTGACCTGACGTTAAAGCACATGGCGAGAGCAGGTCATGATTTTTCGAATGTTGCTCGAAGGAGCTCAGTGTTGATGTTTCTAATGTTGTTCAGCACACCGCAGATCAAATGGTGCAAAGCATTGGTCTGAAAAAGGTGCTAGTTTGAGAGCTGTGCTTGTGTGTTGTGTTCAGGGTTGAAGCTCTGAAACACCCAGAAGTGGCACATGGCAATAACATTACCAAGGCCAGGCACAGCTGAAGGGCAGAACTGAAGGGTTCTGAGGGCGGCACTTACCTATGTCACCACTGAAGAGCTGCTGCTTTTTCTGTCACAGACGACAAATAAAATCGTTGGTGGGGGAGAGAAACAGAGAGGAATTAGAGAGATATAACAGCACCCGAGCTGAAGAGCAGAGTCCACTCTCCTCCTCCTCCACTTAAATTCTCCTCTCCACTTCAAAAGTAGAGGGTGAAAGTCCTTGGACAGGAGGACACAAAGTGTCTCTTCACCAGACACTCTCATGCTAGAAGAACAATTGTTCTTTATTAATCTCCCCAAGAATAAAGTTCTATCAAGCAGACAAGAGAATATACGGGATGATAGAGTAACATGTTCTGCAAGTTACATTCTGTTTTCAAACAGAATGCTTTTTTTTTCACTTTTAATTCTTATCTGTCTTTTACAGGTCAAATGCAGCACTGTGTCAGGTCATTGACAGACTATGGACATGAATAAAGAGTACCTTTCGAAAGTTCGGGGTCGGTTGCTTTTTTTTTTTTTTTTATCAAAAACACAGCATAATAATATTGTGAAATATAAATCACAATTAAAAATAACTTTTCTATTTTAACATATTTTAAAATGTCATTTATTCTTGTGATGGCGAAGCAAAATTTTTAACAGCTATTACTTCAGTGTCACATGATCCTTCAAATTCATTCTAATATGCTGATTTGGTCAAGAAACATTTCTTATCAATGTTGAAGTTTTTTTTTTTTTTGTGTAAACTGATATTTTTCAGGATTCTCTGATAATTAAATGGTTTAAAGCAGTGTTTCTCAACCCTGGTCCTGGGCGCCCCCCAACACTGCTCATTTTGTGTGTCTCCCTTGTCTGACACACCCATTTCGTTTCTTCTAATGAGCTAATGAGTTGAATCAGGTGTGTTTGATTAGGGAGACACACAAAATGTGCAGTGTTGGGGGGCACCCAGGACCAGGGTTGAGAATCACTGGTTTAAAAGAACAGCGTTTATTCGATGACAAAATCTTTTGTAACAATATAAATGTCTTTACTGCTACTTTTAATCAATGTAATGCATCCTTGCTGAATAAAACCATTAATTTCTTTCAAAAAAATAAATAAGTGAATTTAAAAAATATTACCGACCCTTAACTTTTGAAAGTTAGTGTACATTTAAGCTACTTTAGGAAAACACTAGGGCTGCACGATAAATCGCATGCGATATTTAATGCGCATCTGCTCAATGTGAAAGCCCGCAGGTGATGGAGATTTACCGCTGATTACAGAACCGGCTTTACTGATAAGATGCGCGTTAAATATCGCATGCGATTAATCTTGCAGCCCTAGAAAATACATAGGCCTAGTCTTCTATACAAGGTCTGCAATGAATATGTGTTGACCACTTAACTTTTTCCTTTAATTAATACTCTCATAGTTATGTAATTATTTTGGTTTCAGATACCACATGATCCTGCAAATACTCTTAACCCTCACAGACATCAGGGCAGAGATTAATATTATTTTAGTATTAATCTTTTAGAGACTAACTATTTGAGGCATGAGAAATATGTCATACTTCAACACTATGCCAACTACAGTTGGTCACAGTGTGATCATCGCTTTATCGGCTCATTTTGCTGGAAGATCTGTATACTAACAGATGATTGATGAAGCGGACTACAATATGCAAAAAGGGGGGGATTCCTTTGAATAAAACTGTAGCCCGTCAAACAGACAGTTTGCAGCACTCTGTCAAACTGAGCTTCATGGCATAACAGAGTTATGGGTGATACAGGTGGGTGAAATCATTCAACCACTAAGTACATCAAAACAATTATAACCAGTTTTAGGTAGAGTATAAATGACCAAAATTAATTATACCCTATATCTACTTTTAGTGACCTAAATGAGCTGACAGTGCATTAGCTAGTTGGACCAAACACTTGCATATGCTGACGTAAAAATGTCAGTTGTGTTATTGAAGAGATACAATAAAGTGATTAGAAATAAAGTCGCAATGAAACAGAATTAGCAACAGATATTTTCTTACATTTTGTGTGACGTATATCCAAGTGTTATGGATCATCAAAAAAGAAATGAATGTGAGGACTTGGTTCTATGCATTGGTTGTTGATTGGATTTGAAAATGTGGGCACTCAACAATGGAGGCAGATGAATGTAAATTTGCAGGTGCAGAGTTTAAGCGGACTAAATGATTGGAAAAGTCCTGCATATGTGACCAGAGAGAAGTCTGTCATTCGTTTCACCAGCAAATTGAGTTATATTTTGTTAAATGAAAGTATGTGTAGAATTTGTTTTGCAATAAATAAATAAAAAAGTGAATTTTAATTAAAAATGACCAGGTCAAAAAACGTGCATAGATGAATCGTTTGCAATGAGACCGAATAACATGCATTTACAAATTTGACAAGGTGAATTTTCATTTCACCCAGAATTTTAACTGACATTTTCATGAACCAGCAGCGGACCGAGTGACCACTGTTTGGGAAGTATTGCACGTCTGCAGATGCTCTACATCCACGTGGTAAGGTAGGAATAAAGCTAATGGAGTGGCTCTGATTTGATGTGGTGCTATTAGGGCTCACCTTCCCACCGGCCCTGCCCTTCTTATTAGGATTTGGTTGAGCTTCCATACTGCAAAAGACAATACTGCACACATATTACATTATTTTGATTATTGCTGCAATTAAAAAAATACATTCAAAAGGAGGGTAGGAGTAATTCGTGTGTAACTAATATGCCGTTTCGGCTGTAAGAGAAAGTAAATGACGGCGACTCTGGCTCATTACAAAGATCACACGCTTTCACGCTGCATTATGCGCAGCTAACGTTACATTTAAACTCGCTCGCCTCTAACATGAAGCGCGGTCTCTCTATTCACTACAACGCAACTATTTAAAGTCACGTTAAATGATTTACCTGTTTGTGGTTGTTTTTACTAACCTTGTGTTGAGCAAAGGCTTGTTTGGTTTTGAAAATAGAAACACGACAAGGAACGGCCGAAATAAAACAGTCAAGACCCTAGTCCGTTTCCCGCCTATTTCCAAAATAAAAGTCCTAGGTATAATTATGAATGTATGCTAATTCATTTATTTTAATAATTTACTCATACAGTAAATGATATTCAATTATTACTGTCGTTGATATTGTCTACTATTACATAAGTACAAAATTTATGGAGTTTATTAAACTACCGGGACACATAAGTGAAGAGAGCTGAACTGAAACCACAATCAAAACCTTTATTTTGAAGCGAGCTTTGTTCGACTCTCAAAAAAAGACTGCTGCACAATCTTGATATGTGACTGTAATTTGCAGTATCTATATAGATATTTGAATTAAAATTATATATATTATAAGTGAATCGCTATCTGTATCTATTGAGCAAATATTGAAATAATAGTTGCTGTGTTAAATTTAATCAGGCACCAGTTTAGCCGGACTATTTTCTCAACAGAGGTTGATGGACCCTTAATGGCTCAAAAGCAGCACGAGTGATGATCTGTGGTGAGTGAAACAAACTTATCTTAAGTATTAGTTCGTATTTGTATTTAAGCTGAGTAAATGAATTTGTGCAATGGAGTTAATCGCTGATAATTATGGCTGCGTATCGCCACGCTTATGCAAACTGAAATAAACGTCAAATCAAACGTGTGTTGTTTACAGCTTCTATATAACTTACATATGTACATAAAACAGATCTGCTGTTGCAAATCATTAAATGAACTGATACATTTTAAACATTTAAAATGATGATGAATGGTTGTGCTTGTGAAGTTCTAGTTTAACGTGCAATCGATGCTGGAGAAAACTGTCAGGATCAAACTGCCTATTTTGTTTGGTGAAATTTCACATTTTCTTTTGTGAATAACTTGTGAAATTATGAAGATGACGATGTTTATTATATATTCTAAAATGTACATTTTAATATAATAATATGATGTGTGAAATCCATATTACTGGTCTTTTGTTTTTGTTCCAGTTCTTTTTGTTCTTTAACAACTGAAGAATGAAAGCAAAAAAGCAAAAAAGGCAAGGTGATTTCCAGAAAGTTCAGCTCAAGGTTGGCAAAAAGAAGCCAAAAGCAGACAATGCAACAAACGTCAACTTCAGATCAAAAGCTATCCATTTACCAGAGCAGCTTAAGCATGCGGATTCAGGGCCAACAACGCACAGGCAACTTGACATTAAGGTACATAAAACACACAATGTCACAATTTCCACTGACCCTCATCTTTCTATGGTTCATTATAGGGGTGTAAATAGACATCAATATTGATCAATGCATCAATCAAATGACTAACAGTGATGTATTAATGCAACATATTGTTAAGATGCACCTTTATTTTTTTACACACTTATGTTAGCCAGATCTGCATTGTCAGTTGCACAACTGAATTAGCTGGATACATAATTTGCAATTTTCAGAGAGTTGGATTAAGTATTAATGTTACATTTGTGAATTAAAAATGTAATGTTGTATAAAACAGGCACATATAGTAAAATTTGTATCACTGACATTTTTTTTTAAATCACCCCTCCATTGTCTCTCACTGTCTCAGGATCTGTTGTCCAAGCTACACCACATCAACAGTAACATAAAGCAGGGAGCTCTGGTGGGTTTGAGGGAGTTGCTGTCAGCTCAACCTTCTATGATTGAGCTGCATGCATCAGCGGTACTATCTGAGGTGGCGGCACTCTTCACTGACAAAGACGGCTCTGTGCGAGCAGCTGCAGTGCGTCTGCTGCGTTTCATCACTCAGTGTATCCCCGCCGAACGGGTGGTTCCCTTCTTCCCCCTGCTCAGTGCTCACCTCACTTGTGCCATGACCCACATCTCAGAAGCCATCCAGGAAGATGCTCTCCGGGTCCTGGATGTGGTGCTGGAGCACTATCCTGGACTTCTCTCTCAGAGACATACGGTGCTTCTGACAAATTTTCTAGAACTCATTTCCCAAAAGCGAAAAGCTGCAACAGGGCAGGATAAATCTGGGAAAGGGGGCTTTGCTCTGACTATCAGTACAAATCGCTCTGTAACAGCACAGCAATGGAGACTGACTGTGCTGCTCAGGTATTGCATCCCAAAAAAAATTCTCCCCATTCTTTCTATGTAGTTTGCCATGTTATTATTTATTAACAATTTGTGTAATCGTTCAGGTTGGGCAGTTTTCTGCAGGCAGTTGTTGAGGAAAGACCTCTGGATGAAGGTGTGACCAGCAGCATTGGCCTTGGAATGTGGGCTGGAGAGAAAGGCTCGGTGACCTCTGTGGATGTGAGTTGGGAGGAGCATGTCTTTGGGAAGGGCAGGATCCAAGTGTTTGAAAATTCTGGAGCCGTTCCCACCCCACACTCTGCTTATCGGCTAAGGTATGTTTAATTGTTACAATAAATGATTACAGTAAATTTCTCTTTCTATTATCAATATGTCCTCCATATAGACCGACTGAATATCGCCTGAAAGTTATTTGTTTATATCAGAAGGGCCAAACTAGGGCCTGATGACATTTGATTTGGCAGTATATCAAAAAACAAAAAATCCATTTCTAATGTATCAATTTCTAATTTATATTTTAGTTTTAGCTTTTAATTGTTTTATTTTTGCATCATAAATGAAGAGAATATGTTGAAAATTTAAATGCACTTTGAGATGCTACTCGTCACTCTTAGTGAACAGACAATAATGATGAGGTTTAGGGTGTGGCACACAGACAAGCATACATTTTAAAAAGTTTGTCAAGAAAATTGTTTTACAAGTCTATTGTTTATGTGTTTTCATTGTAATGTAAGTTTCGTTGTACAGTAAAATGGTATATTGCAAAGTAAGTTTTTAATTTTATGTTTAAATAATAAATGAAGGGAACCAGGGTTAACCACTTTCTCTTTAATATAATTCCTTATAGTTAGAGGTTTGATGTAATGAAACAATTTTTTTTGGCCCATGGCCCTCAGTCAAGATTGATTTTGGCTTTTCATAGTAAAACGTTTGGGTACCTCTGGTTTATATAGTTAAGTATGAACCTCTATAGCTAGCTGTATGTTTTTGTATAGAATAGGACTGGTTAAATACCAAAAGTTTGCCTTCAGTACAATACCAGCATCAGGTAACATGTCTTATGTGACAAGTGAAATTAAACTAGAGCAGACAGTAGATTCAACAATTAAATGAATTTATTATTAATCTCATAATATTTTTGTATTTAATGGGTTAATATTGGTGAACAGTGTGATGACTGGTTCCCAATTCATTTAAAATCAGACATAACAGAAAAATGACTTGTGATTCAAAGAGAGAATTTATTGAGACCTCATACTGATAGACATTAAACTGCATGTTAACTGATGAAACCACATATTTGCTCACACAAAATTTCTATTAAAGTTTAAATAGTTTTTTTTTTGGTCACATCTGCACTAATTTAGCAAATAACATTGACATTTATTAATTTAGCAGACACTTTTATCCAAAGTGACTTACATTGCATTCAGGATATATATTTTTTTAATTTGTGTCATGCTCTACTGTTTGAACTAATGTAACAACTTTTCCCTACACTTTACTTACATTTGTAACAGGATTTTTTCATAATCCCATCTGGATTTGATGTATTATAAATTACAGAATAAAACAGAATGTCACACTGCCTAAACAATGTAATCACGGTCAGGTAACAAAATTTGCACAACAGTATGGTACTGCTTTGCTTTTTTACTACCATTATATCGCTGAGACTTTGTAGGCTTTTCAGTTTGATCAAAAGACAGAAAGGCCATGTGTTTACAGTATACAGCACTTGTTATATTGGTTTTGTACAGGCCGGACTCTAAGGCAGGGGCTGGAATGAATAAGGAACTCTGCTCGGCTGAGACCGTGCAGGGCTTTGCAGGAACTCTGGTGCCTTTGTTGCTGGAGATCTGGGTGGAGGCGGCAGGTGGAGATCATGTGCAGACAGACAGTGGCCACCTGCTCTCAGCAGAGGCCATGGCTCTTATGTTCCAGATCCTCACCATACTGCAGTTACTGAGAAGAGTTTCCCCGCATAGAGACCAACAGGACATACTGGTACATACACTTAAACTGTAGCAGCTGCACTGCTGATGTTATATAGCCACATAAATATCACATAAACCCTGTTTCTGCTGTACCCTGCAGGATGCCTGGTTCCGGAATTCATACCTGACAGATTTCAAACACCACTTCATGAAGAACTTCCCCTATGGCCTGCTGGAGGTGGCAAGACACAAGAAGAAGGCTGATGGAAAGAGGTGACAAAAAGTCCAAATGTTCTATTTAAAGAAACCTAGAGTGTTGATATATGTAAATTAATGAACCACATTTCATTTTTGTGATTCCAGAAGTTTCAAGTTTTTTTTTTTTTAAAGAAGTTTTTTTTTTTTTAGCTTTTTTAAATTCATTTTTTATATATTTTATTTAAAGCATGCCATATTTTATAAACAAAACAAACAAATAACCCCTATCTAGTCCCCTATACCTATTATATCAGTTGAACAAAAAGTGTAAAATAATAACCACTGATCTCTATTTTCGTCTTCAGGATTAGGCAGCAGGTAGCAGCTGGGACGGTTGCTGGCGGCAACGTGGAACCATTGGCCCTAAACGTGACATTGTGCCAAGTTATGGTGACACTCAGTCTTAGGGGCCAGGATCACGTAGAAGCCGAAGATGCTGACTGGCTCCGACCAATCAGGGTATTTATTAGGGAGACATTGTCCAATGAGGGCAAGCTGAGCTCAAAGCACCTGGCAGCCTTACTGGAGGTGGTGTGGAGGATGATTGTCACCCAGCGCAGCCGCGGTGAGGCCGGTTTTCTTTACGGCAGACAAACGTTTGTTTTCTAATAAAGGTCTGCTGAAATTCAAATGTGTGTGTGTTGTCAGTGGTGACAGACGATCTCCTGCAGGCTGTGTATGTGCAGTACCAGCAGAGGAACTTGGCTGTGAGTGTCCGCTCTCTGCTGCTGCGCTTTTTCAGTCAGCTCTACATTCAAGAGCATCAGAATCACCCTCATATTGCCCGGTATGTGCCCACCACCCATTTTTTTATCTGGCCCTGGTGCCTGGTCTGTCCCATTTTTTCTAACATCAATGTTGTTTGGCCTTTCTGGTTATTTTATTTCTATGCACACACTACTGTTCAAAAGATTGGGGTCAGTAAGATAAAAAAAAAAGATGAAAAGTCCAAGTGATTGTAAAGACATTTATAATTTTACAAAAGATTTATATTTCAAATACGAAATGCTATGTTTCGAATACGAAAATGCTATGAAACATATTGACAGCTCATTGTCTCTGCATATTAAGCTGGGATAGGAAAAAAGTATTTTAACAAATAATTGTGTGTATATGGTCTTTTTTTTAATTTATTTGTCTTTTTTTTTCTCAGTTTTACCAGTTTTTTCCACATGTCTGAGTTTGTTTGTGAAATTAATTGAAGACTCCCTCAGACTCTTTTTATTATTTGAGTCTAGAAATGCACCTTGTGACAGTAGGAAGTGTCTAAAGTCTCCCTCTCTTTCAGGAGCAGGATTCTGGCACGCTGGCTGGCGTCACTGCCAGTGCAGTTGGTTCAGCTTGGCAGCAGGAATCCTCAGCTCTCAGCACAACTGCTAGAGACGATCCATCCAGCTGCCGCGAGGGGCAATAAAGACCTTCTGCAGAGTCTTCAGAAAAATGCCTGCAGTATTTATGGTAATAATATATACTCATATACACAAACAACTGTTTAGCATACTCTCTCAATACTATAATGTGTGTGTGCTTGGGAGAGGCTTGTGTAAGGGATCGGGCGGTAGTGAGGGTGAGCATTAGAGTGGTGGCATCTCCGGTTCTGAGTGTGATATAAGCTCTCTGTAGTTTTGTGTTTCGGGAGCACAGCGCTCCCTTTGTGTGTGTTAGCACTCATGACATCAGCAGCGTGCGTCAGCAGCTAATGATGTCTGTCTATCTGTGATCACTGACAGGACAAACCTCTTTCTCTCTTGATATTTTTCCTCCCTCTCTTTCTCAGACATTCATTCCTTCACTGTTGAGCTTTTGCAGCTACATAAATCTGTCACTAGGGGGAGCTATTTCCTTTCTCAAGTTTTACATTTAGAATGAATAATCAATCTCAAAATAGTAGGGCTGTGAATCTTTGGGTAGACAGAGAAATCGCTTCGATTCACGATTCATAGGTTTTCGATTCGATTCAAGAACGATTTTTGCAAATTCAGAACGATTCAATTTGATTCGATTCACAATTAAATTCGATTCGATTAACGATTCGATTCTGCATTCTTTAAGTGCATTCACAGGATTATTTTAATGCTTCCCCTAAATTCTTTAAATGCTTAGTCAGGGGGCAAATTACACAGCAGCCTTTATAATTAGAGAACCTAGGGAAATGCTCAGGTAATGTAGTCGGTATGACCGAGAGCCATTGAAAAACTACAGAAAAGTAAAACTACTTCACTTTAGCATTACTGGCCATGAGTACTAAGGAGAGATCACACATCAGCTGCTCAAAATGTGTCAGTGAGATGAACGGAGCACGAGCGCAATCCTGTGACAGTCATTAGGCGGTAAATAGTGGAGCGTGTGAAGGAGAGATGTGAGGGCACGAACACTGTTCAAGGTCTCCATTAATTCGTGCTTGTAGTAATTTAATGTGTATATATTTTAAAAG